AAAGCTTAGTATTACTACTATATTTAGTCTTAGAGTAGTATAAGTTAGCTAATTAAGCCTTTAATATATTTAATATACTTTATCTCTCCTAATTTCTAATACTTAAGTAGTAGGATATACATTATATTACTAATAAGAGTAATTTAGCTTTATACTTAGGATCTTATAGATATAATATATACTATTACTCTAGGTGCTATCTACTTTATTCTTAAGCTAACTCTTAGTATTATTAATATATACCTCCTAATAATTCATCCTACTCTCTAGAGGATATTTAAAATAAAGGCCCTATATTAGTTAAAGGTATATCTAAGTAGTATAAATAATAGTAGAATAAATAGTTATAGCTATAAGAAGAGATTAGGGATAAGAGATAAATATTAGAGGAGTTTTAATTATCTAGATAATAATATGCCTTTAACTATAATCCAGGCTAGGAGCTACCTATAAGACACCCTTTAATAACTAGACGCTATTTAAATCACTATATAGTAGGAAGTTAAAAGCTTATTATTTAATCTAAGGTATATAGTGCTAGCTATAAACTAGGAGGCTCTATAATCCTTAACTACCTATTTAGTAGATATTTAAGCATCTTAAGTAATATAAATAACTTTAGATATTTCTAATATTTTAATATTAGGTATATTATAAATTTATATATATCTTAGCTAGGTAATTCCCCTTCTTCTAGCAGCTACTATATAATATATATAGCTCTTACACTTACTATTATTACTAATCTCCTAGACTAAGATAAAAGTAAATAAGATTTAATAATTTTATAGTATTATTACTTTACCCTCTAGCCCTTATACTATAGCTATAGGGAGGTAAATAATAATAGACTAGAGAAAGTATTCTACTAAGGGTGTAGAGTGCTAATAGAATATTATTATAGGTTTCCTATTAGAATTAGCTAGTAAATTAAATATATTAAGGTATAATTATCAATAAATTTATATAAAATATATTAGTCACCTACTATATAAGTAGTAGTAATACCTTATAGGCATAGGATAGGAGGTATAGGGGTTTATTAATTAATACTTATATATTAACAGCGGGGACCCCTGGAGGATAATCTTAGATAGCTTCGCTTAGATATAAAGTAAACCAAAAGAGGCAGGTTCTCTCTACGCTTATTTATATATATACCTCTTATATATTAATACTAAATTAGGAAGTGGAAGAGATCGTTAAGCTATATAATTATTTAAGCTACCCTTAGTTAATAGCTTTATCTTAATAAATAAAGTATATAGGCCGCTGTCTAATATTTCATTATAATAGCTTAGCTAACTTATTATAAGTAAGCTATATATATACACTATCTAAAGTGCCTATAAAATTTCGTATAATCTAATAGCTATATATATTAGGTATTAGCGTTAGTATAGTATTAATTACACTCTAAGTAGGTAATAAGAATACTAGTTATATATATATAGATATATATTATACTATTTCTACTAAACTACTATTAATTACTACCTTATATATATAGGGGTAATAGAGAAAGTCCTATAACCTAGTATAGGAATAATTTCTATATAAAAGTATCCCCTTTAGTAGTTCTATTATAAAATAGATTGCCCGCTATTATAAGACTAGGTATCTAAGCCACAGTTACTATTACTCTAGTGCTCTAATATCGATATACTACTAGGGTCCAACCTATAACCCCTATTATAACTACTACCTAGGTATTTATATTCTTAATAGCAAGCAGTATTATCTTCCAGCTAATGATTATATCTCCCGTTATATCCCTAAAGTCCTAGAGATAGCTAACTATAGTAATAGCACCTATAATAATAAATAGCTAGGTTATTGCCTTAACTATATAGATAGAGTAATTAGTAGTAACCTTAAGAGGTCTAATAAAGAAGTAAGTAAACCTAATTCTATTTAGGAGGTTCTTTAAAAAGGGGTTAAAAGCCCCTCCCTATTTATTATACTATAAGTAGCTAAAGGCCTCTATAAGGCAAGGCACTAATCCACTAATACTAAGAGATATAATAATAATAATAAGATATATATAGTATATAACTGCAATCACTTAGGCTAATATTAGCTATCTCACTAGTAGGGGTTACTATAGTTTATTTAGGGCATCTTTAGCGACTAAGTTATATTAGTTATAGAGGTTAAAGATAAAGAGATTAGTCTATAATTATAATAGTATAGATAGGGTAGCTCTATATATTTTTTTAAGGGAGATAGGTAGGCTTATACTAAGTTATAGTGTAATAATCACATTAATAGCACTAAATATAAAGCCTAGGTAAATAATATCCTTAATATTATTTACAATAAAAAGATAAACTATATAGCTATAATAGAATATAAATTTATAGATATTAGTAAATATAATAGGCCTAAGCAATAGGTAGGGTAAATACTCGCCTAGCTTAGAAATATATATTCTAAATACTAGAGAATAAAATATAAAAGGGTAGTAGGATATTAAGATAACTTTCTTAAGAGTAAATTTATATATAAGTAACCTCCTTCTATTTTAGTAAATAAATATAGCACTACTTAAAGGCTTTATATAGTTTTATTATTTAACTATAATACACTCTAACCTTAGGGTCTTTAAGTAAAGATATTAACTTATTTTTACCTCTATACTACCCTATACTATAAGGTAAGAGTAATACTATATAGGAGGCTTTACCTAGTAAGCTAAGTATATCTAAAGCTAATAGGATTAGCAAGGTAGTTCTAAGATAACCTAATAGTATTATTATACACACTAGATCCCTAATAAGAGATATAGGTCTTTTAAGGAGGGGGACTAGATACTAATATCTAAAACGAAGTAATATAGCTAATAGTTCACTAATAATTATAACTAATTTAGTAAAGGACTTTAGAATAAGGAATATAGTCTATTCCTAGGATACTATTATAGGCTATATAATTAACCCCCTCTAAGGTAGATAATTTCGCCTTATATAGTTAAGGGATAAAACTATAATTATATAGTATACTATATAAATACTAGCTAATACCCCCCTATATAAATAGAGACTTAAAATAGCCTTAGCACTAGCTATAGGATTATTTATATCTACTAAGCTTAGTTTTATTTTTAAGATAAGCTAAAATAAGCTACTCTCCACTATATAATGCTAATTATACTAAAGTCGGAAATTATAGACTTTATAGTGACCTTTTTTATAGGGTTTAATAATCTAGGAGATTACTGAAACTTATTATATAACTCCCTGATTATAGGAGTAGAAAATGAGTTACTAAAGAATTAATCTCCTTAGATGAAGCTTTAGATGAGGTCGATTTCGGACATACCAGTCCCCATAGCAGTGATGCCAAGCCTGAACTCTTAGGTACCTGAAACCTCTACGTTGTTATTGACTCTATGTGATGGTCGGTACGCTGTTGGTCGGTTCTGGGACGAAATTATACCTGCAGAAGGTGAATGACTTATTCATTGCAAGCCTGTGGGGGCATGATTGCTGATGGCATGATTGACGAGCTCACACGTCTTTGCATGAGGTCGCTGAGCGTCGCCCACTCTTTGGGAGCTGGGAGCATTAGGGGTAGACCGCACGGCTTCTTACGGCTTAGGGGGGAAAGTTGTCAGGTTGGACTTGGTTAGATCCGGTCACACTACCAACACGATAAGATGAGAAAGCAACTATAGTAAGGGCCATATCAGATGCGCTGGACGTCGGCTCCAAATTTTCCACACTAGAATCCGCAAGTTTGAAGGGAGAGACGAGACTGATTGTTGCTGCCGCACTTGCTGTTCCGGTTCGCGGATACGGCCGGGAAGCGCGTGAATATTACTGCTTGCTATTCATTGTGTTGAGATGTCGGGTCTGGCATCTCCCACTGCTGTTTTTTACCTCGTGAGTCAATACTCTAACTCACTGTGACGAACTGTTCAAGTTAGGTCACATACCTTGACTAACCCTTTTTCTAACCAGGGAAGCCTAACGAGCGTCATCGAAAACTCATGCTCAAACCGCTCCATGTAAGAGCGCATACCATTAGAAGTCTACCAAAGACGACTACCACAGAGGTCGCCAAGTTTACCAAAGACAGTTCTAACAAAGTGACCTATCCGCCACTTTGTTGTTCTCATACTCCACATAATGTAACACTCCCATTCCTTACCTTGCTGAGTGACCGAGAGTTTATATCCTAAACAGCTTGAATCTTTTAGTTTATTAAATTTTAAAATGCTGTTGTATCACGGTCTAGATCGGATGGGTCATTGCGAAAATTGCTAACCGTCGTTGGTCTATGAACGAAACTATGGATCCACCTATTTCGTGGAGCGGGTAGATTTGGTGCCTATTAATAAAGCCCTAATGCGGATAACTCGAAGAGGAATGTTGCTTCTGCTAGAGGTTTTGCTATGGGGTACGCTATTCGTAATCAACTATGAACAAAACGTGCAATCATTCTATTCCGGTAACAGCAAAGCCCCTTCAGTAACTTGCGCTGCTACACCCGAAAGGAGCAGGATCGACACTCCGGAGCGCCGAGTTGGCATGTGTATTACAGTATGCATTACAGTAATGTCTGGGGCTCCTGACCGAAGGAACCGGGTGTTGAAATTAGGGCTTAGTTCCATGATCTAGATCATGATGAACGTGGCGGTGCAGTCCTTGTACGCCAGAGCTGCAACCATTGGAGCCGCTCTGTTCAATACCCCTGAGAGGTCTACGTAGTTACAGCCTGGAGTCTCAATGCACAGCCCAATTGCCCCACTGGCCGCCTGGAAGGCAGAGCGTTCACCCTGCGCGTGGTCCGCAAGCCTGGCTATGGTTCCACTTGGCGAGCCTGCCTTCACCGCTGAAAGGCTAGTGATTCTCAGACACATGATACCTCGCAACGCAATTTATTAGAGTTGGTGCCAGCTCTCATGTAATTTTATTTTCTTCAGTTTCTATGTCACATTGCCACACGAAACTTCTTTGTTGCGACCTTTCAAAGCAGATTTATACACTGAGATTACGATGGAAAAGACTGAACTTGAAGAGCAGCTGGTCGATACGCCTAGCTCAACCCCTCTCGATGCCTGGCTGGCTGACTACCTTAGTCACAAGGCAGATCAATGTGACTCTAGTTCCTATCCCGTCTCAGACGCTCTGTCGGATGAGATCGATGTGGATGCAATCGAAATGCGAGTGAAGCAGCTCATGAAAGAGACACATGTGACCGCTGGATTCTGCTCCCGGTGTTCCCATCTCCTCCAGCACTGGCCGAACCTCAGCAGTAACATAGATTGGGACTACGCCGTGGGCCAAACATACACCACGGAGGAGGTTGAGGCGGCATCACGGCTTGGATGCAAGCTGTGTGCGTTCCTCTGGACCGGGCTCACTAAGAACAATCGCGTCAGCATCTGTCGGAAGCTCGAGGCAAGGCTGGCAGCTCTCCATAGCCCTGCAAGGTCCTCCCTCACCATTCAGAATTGGGGCACGCTCAACGACTCAGACAACAATGGCTCGCAGCTCCTCTGGTGGAATTATCCCGGCAAAGAGGCCACCCACTGCAACATGCTTGGGGCTCGGCTGTTCAAGTTCGAGTCTCACCTCCTCCCATCAGATAGTAAGCAAAATGGCCGCCCCAGTAGAAGAAGTTTTCAAAATTGCTGACCCCAAGAGAAAGCCAAGCTGTGGGATGAACCCAACGACCCGATTGAATTAACAAAGATGTGGCTCTTGAACTGCATAGAGTGTCATGAGACTTGCCGTCTAAAGAAAAGCAGTGCACCGAGAAGGCTGGTTTCCATTGCTAATAACTTTGTGAAGCTGGTTGAGACAGAGTTATTGGATGAGATGCCGCATTATGCCACCCTTAGCTACTGCTGGGGACAGGTTCCCTTCCCGAAACTAACAAAGAAAACACTACCTACGTTTTTAAACAAAATCGCCTTTGACAGCCTGCCACAAACATTTCAGGATGCCATTGAAGTCGCAAGGCGACTGGGCCTGTCCTATATGTGGATCGATGCACTCTGCATTATACAAGACGAAGACGACCATAGCGACTGGCGCCAGGAATCGGGACGGATGAAATCCATATACAGTGGCTCCCACGTCACCATCTCCGCGTCATCGGCCGCGGATGTCAGTCAAGGATTCTTCCCTTCATCATCTCCAAAGTATAGCGGCGGATTCATCACGCATGTCCAGGTTGGGGAAACCACCAGAGTTCAAAACTTTCACTCCACCACTGTCCACGAAGATTCCACCGTAGACACCCATCTGGGAGGCCGAAGCTGGGCGTTTCAAGAGAAGCTGCTTTCCCCGCGGACGATCCATATTGGAAACCACGGTTTTTATTGGGAATGCCGAACAGAAGTCAAATCCCAGTTTCTTCCTGAGGGATTCCCCGGCATACTCCCGAGATCACGCCTCGTCTGCTCCGAGGAAGAGGAATGGGACTGGCGTGAGATAGTAAATATCTACTCTAAGACAAGGAGAACATATGAGTTAGACATACTACCCGCGCTCTCTGGTATTGCGGCTCGCCAGCACGATGTCACTGGGGATAAATATCTCGCGGGCCTATGGAAGAATGAGCTTCTATCTATGCTTCCATGGTTCACCTTCTCCCAAGCTCCAGTCGTCAAGAGACCGGCCTGGCGTGCGCCCACATGGTCTTGGGCTTCCGTGGAGGGTCCTTGCATTGTATCATACACGGTCGCAGATATGGACATGAAGCCTCAAGCCCGGCTCCTAGACGCATGGACGAAGACTGTTGACGACAGCCCGTTTGGTGCGGTCATGGATGGAGAGATTACTCTAGCATGTTCCTCTCTCATTATTGCTAACTTGAGTCACGCCGGAATTGAAAAATACCACCATCAGATAGATAATAGAGAGGAGATGCTTAGAAAAAAGCAACGGCCGTACCTCACTCTATCTGGGCTGGAGTTGAATCCCTTTCCAGTTTCGATCGATTGCTTGGAAGACGAGATGCTCGGTAAAGAGGAACAAATATATCTGCTCCCACTCTACGATGGTCTGGCCGGTGCAATGAGAAGATCTGAGGGGGAAAGTGACGAAGAAGCCGAAGCTGGTTCGGAAGACGGGGCAGCAAACTCTGACTCGGGTGAGATGAAAGCACCACCATCCGTGGATTCGAGGGACCCGGGGAGTTCAAGAACTAGTGTCGATGGAGAGTGGATAGACGAACTATTTGTTACTGGACTTGTGCTGAGGCCAGTTACTGGCCCTACTGGCCATTACACCAGGATTGGCCAGTTTAGCTTCAGCAGCTTTCCCGATGAGGTTGTGGCATATCAAGATGAGGATAGAAACTTTTACGAAGAGTCCAAGGGTTTCTTCCAAAGCACGGGCGAACGGACTGCAGAGTCGGCTTGTATTAGAACGGACGTTAGCGACGAGGACCCGGAGCAAAAGTTTGTAATCAGTATCAAATAGTCTTGCGAAGCTCCTAAGCCTGAGCTGCCTTTGGCCTGTTGAAGATTCCATTGCCGGGATTCTCCTCTTCATTTTCATGATTGTTCTCACTGTTCAAAGGTAGCGCTAAATCGCAGAGTAGAGTCAAGGCTGCCAAGGAAAGGACGAAATCATCGTTATGATGAGATGTTGAAAGTAACGTTGTCCCCGGAAGAGCAACAACTCTTGAGCCAGCCGGGAGAGGAAATGACATGGCGAGCAATTCCAACGTTCGATGAAAGGGCCCTGCCTGAATTATACCCATTTTGCAGATTAGACCACGTAATGAAAGTCATTATTCTTATATCGGTTCTGTCCATCGGCGTGGTAATTGTGCTGCCTATTCGATTTCCGGCATATGGCTGGGTGGCCGTCGTTCTGTTTCTGCTCTCGATGACCTTGCTATTGCTTGTACGGTCTCTCTCTCCATGCGAATTGTGGGCAACCCTGAGCCTTTCTTTTAGAATAGCGCTGCGAGGCCCAAACACTAAATAGCCGAGCTTTTACGACACTGTCCTGAAAGTGCTGAAAGTTAAGACAATCATAAAGAATGCCAGGGTACCTCAAGCGGGACAAGAGGCACAAGCAGCGCTCACTGGCGCGAGCGAGGCACTACCATCCTATGGTGACACAGACAATGAGTCCGGTGTCGAGCCCCTCGCAGAGGCAGACCCGAATGTTATCACCGCTGCCATATTCTGCGTCTTCTCCTATGAGGCGGTCGCGGTAAAAACACGCCCTAGACGTAGAGCTGACAGGGGAGCTTGCAGAAGTGCTTGGATAAGTGTATGAGTGCACGAAGGAAATTTTGTGTGCGATGCAGAACTCCAGCTAGATAGATGAAAGGGGGTAGGATAAATAGGGATCTGGCTAACAACACGTTCCAAAGGCAAGGGAGTGATCAATATGAAAGTCTATAGAGTTTTCGTTCAACACAGCTATAACCTTGGGCTATCAGAGCTTATTTTGCCTTCCGTATCCATCGTGTTGAGATGTCGGGTCTGACATCTTCCATTGCTGCTTTTTGCTCCCACCCATATACTCCTAATTAGCGAGCGCCCAATCAGCTGTATTTACTAGGCAACGGGCAGTTGTGGAGGTTGGGGCCATCCCTGGTTCTGCCTTATGTTCTTGGCTGAGATCTCAGCCTGCACACTTCTGCTTCGGCAAGGAACCGCGCGGTATGCGTGAAGGATTCATGTAGGTAAGAAACGTTTGATCGAGATCACCCCTGGATGTGGACCCTCGTAGGAGGGACTTTGGGCTGCCCTAGATCCTGATTAGATAGACCTGCACTGTTATTGGCGAGCTCGGATATGCAACCATTCCTCCCTAGGGTTTTCATTTGAATCATGTTCGGAAGGAGTTTAGTATAATGCAGAATGTAACCCCATGCCCAGAAGCGACAGCCGGTAAAAAAGTTCCAGCAATGAGCAATGAGAATAAAACCGCAACCCGGCAAGAACGCCTTTCATCCGAACTAATATGGCCTTCTTACAGGAGCAAAATCCTTTTTAAGCTGTATAGGGACCGGATTTAATAGCTGTGGAAGATTTGCCGCGATGGGTACAGAGTAATACAGCGTCCTGGATTTGGGAGGCGCATGCAATCCTATGAGTATCCAGCTGGGGAAAAGGAACTAGTTCGCGAACTACGGTAGCTTACCATAAGCTGAATAAGTAGTAAGTTTCACATTGAAACAGGCCGCATTTGAAGTTACCTAGCTTACGATAGTCACACTCTTTCTCTATTTTTTTTCGAGTACTATAGCCCAGCTCTACGACTCAAGAAGTAGCTATGGACAGCAGTTGGTACTTTATTTACCAGCCTTTGATGTTTGCGTTGACGTAATTTTCCGTGAGAAATTGTAGACCAGCCACCTATTTCTTTAAAGTACCAGTCGACCCCATTCTATCTGTATCCTCGTGGAAAGAAACACCGAGAGATCTGTACTACCCCTCATAATGCATCCGTACATCGTTCTCCGAGATAGATACGGCTCGATGGCTATCTGACGGCTTGTATTCCTGGGATACTACCTCCCATTTCCAACAGAGTGTGGTAAGCGGCTGACGTGGGAGTGCATAATAGCGTCAAATGAAGTTGGCATGTAATCACATAAAGCAGCCCGAGTCCCCATTCCGGTTCATCTGCACGCCAAGGATTCATCAGAGAAATACAAACCGCGTCGAACCTAGTCATCAATTCCAGTTACGCACCTCCGGGTATTCCTTTCAACATACGAAGGACCCAAGGAAGGCGATCTTGAACTGGGATCGATCTAACATGGCTATGTCGGATTCGGCTACTGGGCTAACCATCCTGGCTGGTCTAGCAGTATCCCTGGTCCTCTGGTTTTGGAAATCAGCCAAATCAACGCCACCGCTTCCTCCTGGTCCCCGGCCGCTTCCATTGGTTGGGAATATCCTAGACCTACCGCCGAAAGGTGAACCAGATCATCTATTCTGGCTGAAGCACCGAGAAAAGTATGGCCCTGTCAGCTCGGTGACCGTTATGGGCGGGACGATCATCATTCTCAATGACAAAGAAGCCGCGTTTGAGCTTATGGAGAAGAGGGCAATAAAGAACTCATCGCGGCCTCATATGGAATTTTGCTTTGGAATGTAAGTTCTCAATATTTAGCTCGACGGCCAAAAAACTGATTCGTTCTTATGGCAGGTGTGGGTACAATCGTTTTGCTACGGGGATGCCATATGATGACACTCTGCGACGTCATCGGAAACTCATTCATCAGTACATTGGCACCTCAGCTTCAGTCATTGCCTTGAGAAAGGTTCAGGAACGAGAGATCAGTCGGACACTCTTGCGACTATTGGAGACTCCTGAGAAGCTGATAGAACACGTCAGGACGTAAGTGATGATCGAACTATGTTCACGGCTAAGTAATAACAAGCTTTTGCATCTAGTCAAGTCGGGGCCACCGTCATTGAGCTGACCTATGGATATTCCATGGAGACGAAAGGACCAGACCCCGTGCTGCGCCTCGTGTCTCGCTGGGTCGACATCTTCTGTGCGACAGTGATTCCTGGGAAATGGCTGGTGGATTTATTTCCTTTCATCAAGCATCTTCCACCTTGGTTTCCTGGTGCTGGATTCCACGACATTGCCAAAAGATGGAGGAAGGAAGTCTTCGCAGCAGCGGATGTCCCATTCCAATTCGCCAAAATCCAATGGGAAAATAACAGCAACCGCCCCTCGTTTGTCTCGTATTCCCTTGACCGGGCCGGTGATGACATCGATCCTGAACTAGAATCCGATATCAATCTATCAGCTGCAAACCTATACGGAGCTGCATCTGACACAACCGTCTCGACTTTGAGCTTCTTGTTCTTGGCTCTAATAAAACATCCAGATGTCTTGCGTAAGGCTCAAAAGGAGATAGATGATGTCGTAGGCTCAGAGCGCCTACCAAATTTCGAGGACCGCGCGAAACTAGTCTACCTGGAAGGTGTTGTTAAGGAAGCCTATCGATGGCATCCTACTGCGCCAATTGGTGTGGCACACAAGAGCGATGCTGATCAGATTTTTCGGGGGTTCTTCATCCCGAAAGACTCAATCTTGTTGCCTAATGCTTGGTGCTATGCGCATGATCCGAACAAGTATCATGAACCGGAGAGATTCATCCCTGAGCGGTTCCTAGCCCCTTACAACGAGCCTGATCCCAAAGAATACGTCTTTGGCATTGGCCGCCGCATCTGTCCTGGCAAAACCTTTGCCGATGCCAACATCTTCTTGACCGTAGCCCAGACGATTGCAGTTTTTGACGTTCTCAAGGCGGTTGATGAACATGGTGTCCCCGTGGAACCCATTGTCCAACCGATCACGGAATTGGTTACGCACCCGGCCAAGTTTCAATTCCAGATCAAGCCGCGAAGCCAGAAGCATGAAGAGATGATCAGGCGTATTTCCCAATCATCTGCGTCTGAGAAAAGCGACCTTGAACTCCTTGAACAATTGGGGGTTTTGAATAGATAAGAGGGTGCTGGTTTAGGAGTCTCAGCCTATGCTTGGGCGTTTCAATCCCGCCGGTTTGCTGTGTGGATGTTATGAGCGGGAACAAGCCGGTTGATGTGGTGAATATGAAAGAGAGTTAGCTTTAGAATACTGGTTTCCATTAGGCTTCACCTTATAATAACTGGGAGATGTTTGGCTTTGACCAATGAAATTGCCTATATTTGATCTACCCGTCCTCAGCGTGTCCCGAATATGCCAAAGCGTGTTGTAAAAGACAGCTTGTAGTATTTGTTTAGTGTATTAGGCTCTATAGATTGAATGCAGACAAGATAGGTAGCTGCAAACGCTTTCCAGAAATGCGCGATGAAATATAGTGGTGGACGGGATATCACTCTCCGTCCTAGACGGGGAACCACGAGAAGAGCTGTCAGTGGGAACTCTACTGCGCTCGCGATTTCTTCTATCGCTACCAACTGGTACCGAGATTTTATTTACATCTTCCCGAACTAACTTGGCTGATAATTATTACTAAAATTTAGCTCACAAAAGCAGAACTGTTATACCAGGTTAAAGCTAAATACTTTCCTTCAATTTATTCAAGATCATCCAACCAGTCCAGATCATCCTCAAGGATATCCAAGTCCTCGCCAAACCATTCGTCATCCCATACATGGTCTAAATCCGCCAGCCGCTCATCATCAGAATCCAAGAGAGTGTCAGGGAGGTCAAGCAGGTTGTCCTGGCCAAAGAGCGATTCATCGAAGCCATACTCGAGGGGGTCCGCCTTGTACTTGGCCTCGGCATCATCATCATACTCGGACCAGGCGCCATCAATAGGCGTGGTTACGCTGAGCAGAAGCAAGTTACATTTATCGACATCACCATTGGTGATGCTGTACTTGACACCTGGAGACTCCAGAATCGCCAGACCGGCTTCTGTGTCCTCCCCAATAAGATAGATTTTGGCTCCTTGGCCGTCTTTGTACGTGCAAATGGCAGGGAAGAGGAGATTATCATCCTGATCAACGGCTGCCAGCATGCTAGGGCCAGCATTATCACCGTCTTCATCGCCGTAGTAAAACGGAACGAGGCCGCTTGGGGGTTAAGTTAGCATCTAGTTATCTCAGAGCAGTCGAATACTGTGGGTGGACATCGCAAGAAGCGAGGAGGAAAATAATAGGGCAACTTACACATAGACGGATCCTCCAGGAACGGTTTCTTCATCCGTGAAGCGAAGACGACTGACGCCCACAACAGACATGGTGTTATTATAATAGTGCAGCATACCACCACCAGGAGACTGTAGCACCGTTTCGTCAAGACCTGCCCATAGTGTGGTGCAAGTCATGTGCCATGGGAGGTCATTGACGGTCGAATTCTTCTGTACGTAAACATTGCCATCATTGCAGGCAGCCAGTACATAAGAGTGATCATTGTCATCATTGACGCTGATTGTAGAGAACCAGAAACCCTCAAACTCTTCATCGCTAAGCTTATAGGGAGTGTCGATAATGGTAGCCTTATTGAAATCTACTTGGTCGATTTCTTCAACGACATATTCAGTCAGATCGTAAGACTCCTCGTCGGCGCCACTCACGGATTCCTGCCGAGCCTCCAGCTCGTCAAGACCCTCTGAGATCTCGCCAATGAGTGACCGCGTCTTGGTCTTGTCGTCCGCGGCGCCTTGCCAGCCGATGCGGCCCTTGGAAGTGCCATCTGTCTTGTTGCCAATGCAGTACGAAGCAAGGATGTAGTTAGGAGTCTCGTACAGTTTCCAGTCCTTCTTGACTAAGCCAAAGCCCTTGAGCTTGCCTGCGACCTCATTGCGCACGGAAATAGTGGTAGAAATACCAGTGCAGTTATTGACCGCCTTGAGTCCGGCGTCCAGGTTCTTGGCGACCACTTTTCCCTTTTCCGTGCCAGAAATGGGGATGGTTGCATTCCCAGAGGCCTCGACAGCAACCGTGGCCGCCGCCTTAATCGATGGGGTGGTGGCAATACCGATACTGCCTTTGCAGTAAGTACACCCGCTGAAGAAAGTGAGGCCGACATCAAGACCCAGGGGAACGCCAAATTGCGCAGCCAGTGTGACCGATCCCTCAGCTGCAAAGCTTGGGACGAATTCAGGCTTGAAGGCGCTGGAACCAATGCGGCCTGACTTGTAGTCGTAATGGAACCTGGCCTCGGTGAACTTGACATCGCCGCGGGCCAGAACCGAGCCTTCCATATTGATGCTGTACTTCATCTCAGTGCCGATTGAAAGCATCGGGCCAATAGTGGCGAACCCGATAGTAAAGGGTGAGATTGGGATGTCATAGAGGTCCTTGGTAAACGTGTTCTCAAGCGTATGCTGCGCATAAATGCCGAGGCCGAGGCCAATGGAGAGGTTGATGATACCTTCAACCTTGCCATCTGTGATACCCTTGAGCCCATTGATGGTGACATTGCCGGCCATCTCCAGGGAACCCTTGACACCGCAATTGACGCAGTAGAAGTTAATAAACTTGCCCTTATTAACAGTCGTCTGCCTCCTACTGCCTTCCGGGCGAAGGTTGAAGTCCTTGGGAGCGTTGCCAATGGACTTGATGAGCAGTGCATTCTCCCCCCATGGGCTCTCTACCCCTTTGGCCTTGGACTCGCTCTTGGCCTTGCAGGCATTTTTTATACTTTCCCTCTCCTTGGGGTCCTTGCTCTTGGCCTTCTCCTCGCAATCCTTTTTGGGCAGCGGTAGCAGGAGCTCCTTCTTTTTCAGCTTGAAATCATTGGGCTTGCCCTCCCAGACATTCTTAACAGTCTCGAACGTCTTTTTGGCAATATTTGCGCCCTTCTGAAGCGTCTCTGCCACTGCTTTCCCCTTCGCGAACACTGTTTTCTTGGTATCCCCAGCAGTTTTAATGAACTTGGCTCGAAGCTCCTCCGCCTTTTTCTTTGTCTTGTCCTTGATGTCGCCAAGCAGACCCCTCTTCTCTGCTCTCTTGGAAACAGCCACATCATCGGCTTCCAATTCTAGAAGCGCCTCAGCGGTACCAGCGACTTCGCTGGCACGGAAAATACCAAGACCAGTATCGAGCTCACTGTCAAAGTCTGGTCCGGTACAAACAGTGGGAAGCTTGTACTTGGTATCGACAGGCGCCACGCACGCAGCGGTCTGGTCGTCAAGGGAGAGGCTTGTGGGAGAGGGGATGACCGCGGTGTTGGAGGTCGCAGTGGGGGCGACGGCAACGGTGTAGGATTGGCCGTAGTTGCCCCAGGCGAGGTTGATATCCTCGACGAGGTCCTGGATGCGGACGGCCTCACCCTGGGCGCGGGCAGACAGAGACGCGAGGTCGAAGGCGACTTCCTTAGCGTGGAAGTAGCACCGCTCGCCGAGCTTGTGGTCGCCGCAGTCCTCGGTGTAGGAGACGAAGATGATGTCGCTGCCAACCCAACGGTCTACACCGTGGTCGAAGGCGTCTTTGCTGGCGAAGATCATAACGAGCTCTCGGTTATGGTTCATATTCACGTCGACGATGAGGCCGGAGTGGTCGAGAACCACAGACGGGTACAACCACCTGGGAACTGCGACAGCGAATATCCCACCAGAATCTGTTGATAACGCAAGGGCGTCGGTTAGAATCCCAGTTTAATTAGCGGAAACATATGGATTGGGCACACTCACTTTCCGAGGAAGGTTGTACATAGTGTAGAGGGGCACCGGTCCCCTTCTCATGGGGACTGAGGTGCTCCACATCGTAGACGTTGTGATATTCGGGGAGTGATGGCTGAAGTGTGGCGATGGGCCCAAGCCTATCGGAAGGAAACTGGTATTCAGAAGATGTGTGGGACGGTACAACCGTATTCGATGCAGCAGTGTGTGATGTGGAATCAGTAGTAACAGAAACCAGTGTAACCGCTGAGGGGGTAGTCTTGGTCGAGGCGAGGATCGATGGCACAGCGCTAGAGGATGCGTTGAAGATGGCAGTTCCGTTTCCTGGCCCGCCCACGCTTCTCGGCATACGAGGGTAGTCAGCTAGAACCGCCGAGGCCCCAAGGAGCCAGAGAATCGTGTTCCGCATGATCATTTTACAAATGATCATGTGCCTCACTTGTTGAAGGAAATATGGTATAGCCTTTCAAGGTCTAGCCAGATAGCACAACGATACCACAACTGTGGGGGGAGAGGAGAGTAATAGCCCCGATCTAAACGAGTGAATGATAAATCTCCAGCAACCGTGAATAGGAGCAAGAGCAAAAGCCAAGCTGAAGGGGCTCGTGCCTGCAATTTATGTTTGAGATTACCAATGGTTAGATTACAAACAGTAAAGTGAATCCCCTAGAGACACAGTAGTCTAGAACCACGTTCCGGGCCCTTGGTCAGGCATGTTCCCCGTACTATTGAATATTCACAAGCACCGCCCACCCGCCTGGGGATCGTATCATACAGCGAACGGCCGGCATTGGCCGCCGGGAGCCTCGGAGGTGTTTTTAGAACAGGAGTCGATAGTTGAGACTGTGCCAGGCATGCCAGCAAAGGGCTTGAGAGAACCTTGACCATTCCGTTCCGGCATCTTTCCTTGGCCAATCACTTCTCCAGAAGTTCTCAGGCCTGTTAACGCCCCAATCTTAACTGTTGGCCTCCATGCAAGCCTCAGCTCCAGCTTGTCAACGTGGCGTCCACTAGTGACTGCCTGTGCGGGAGAGTTCGGCAGTGGCTGCAAGGATGCGCCACGGCGTCGAACTCGTAAACAGCCCGAGGGACTAGTTGGGTGACAGACAGACTACTGAATATTTGCATGAGCGTTGGCTTTATGGGTGCTGTCTCGTCAGATCACATGGCATCAGCAGTCGAAATAAGCGAGCACACATCCGCTAGTCGGTGAGCTCTAATGCTAAAATTAAGGCTATTGGTAAAGTGCCAAATCCGCCCAGATGGACCAAGCGGCTTCTTCTCTCTCCCTTTTATTTTTATTTTTCAAAATCAAGGCTATTTCATTGTATTGGTAAAGTTAAATGGGAGGCAGGCAGTTCTAGCGTTCAGTTGCCACCAGGGTGTTCTTTTTTGGCTGTAGCAGTATGTCAAATCCGTCCAGATGGAACAGGCCGGTCTCTTCTCTCTCCCCTTTTTTTCATTTTTTTCTGGCCCTGAAAGGCACACACTCCCATTCCACTCGCCCAGACACGAACAGCCGGTTTTGGCTCTGGCTAGTGTCGGATCTGTTTCCCACTCGGGTTCGGTAGGTGGGGGTGGGTAGGGACAAGGAAGTCTCTTCGAAGATTCCAGGGTACATAAAGGGTTTTATTGGTCGCTCAGCGTTACCGCCACTTTAGTCTGTTTCAGGGATTGGCATGATTATTGATATATTGCTCCATTCTGGCACATCGACATCTACCCTACCCTAAAGGCATTACCGCAAAGAGAGGAGGTGCATGATTCAAAGCTCTGGCTGCGAAGCTGGAGCGGAGTTGGCCCCAGAGCTTGTGGCGAATAATTGTGCATGCATTGCTATCCCTGTCTACCAGCATGTGGTCCATCCTTAGATCCTCCGCGTTCTGGAGCGTGGTCTGGAATTTTGCTTCGCGCCTACTTTTCCACTAGCCCTGAGAGCAAGTCGATGAGAAGAACTTCGTTTGTCCAAGCTAAGCAAATAAGGAGAATCTAAATAATGAGAAAAAAGAGGGTTTACTCAGGCTGTTATTTTAACACAATAACACTGAGGGTAAAGGATTTTACCCTTGAGTGACTGTAGGAACATGTAACCGTCCCAAAGCTCTGCGTCCCCTAAGCCTCAGTGGAAACACGCAGGTGGTGCCGGATTTGGGCGACCTACTGATGGTCAGCTTAACTCGACACTCTAAATGCTTCGGTCCATCGCGAGTTTAGGCCCTGCGTTCTCTAGCAGAACCTAGGGGCGAAAAGAACGATTACCTAGCTTTCCTCGGCCTTCGCTGGCTATTCGATATTGGTATCCTCGCACATACCATTCTTGGCACACTTCTCTTCTCTAGTCTATTTTTTTCAGCGTCGCCGATTCAATCGTGGCTATGGGGAGGTTTGCCGCAAGTGCTCTTGCTTGGAAGACTATCCTCAGCTTAGAGATGTCAAGGATGATTGAGGTTGAAACCCAAGATGAAATGGAGGAGTAGTTATTGGAAACCTGTTATCAGTCTCATGAGTGCTCAAGTCTTGCAAAACTGCGGAAGGAGGACAGGAGTGAACACCAATTGTCGCGATCATTCATGTCTGAGCAGATAAGTTATACATGTTCAAGCCACGAGTAGCCGGGCATAGAACAAGTCTCCACAAGCGAGCATCTAAAAAGTTTTTGTCGGCTAAACTGTAGGTTTGGTCCCCAGCGATCATGTCTTCCACTCTGTTTGCCCACTCCTCGAGGAGATAATCCATCGCAACGTTTGTAGCTCCTATGAGTTATAGCTAGACATGGCACGGCATGGTGCTTTATTGAGTCCAAGTTTATAGTTCAGACGAAGCAACTCCGCAAGCTACGCACTCTGGTGGCGTTGGGAAGTCCACCAACTCCACGAGTCCAATTCCACTTACTCCACGAACCGAATCCTGCCAACTCCGCGGGACTATGTTTATCCACTCCACGTCAAGATGTATATAATGGCTAAAGCCTCGTAGGAGAAAAGTATCATGGACTGTAGAATAAATCTCTTGTTTGAGCGTTTACATCTGTCATCTCGTTACCATAAAGCCATTTCACGCCCTCAAAAGTATATTTGATACTCGCCACCATGGTTGTTATAGCTATCGCTGGGGGAACAGGAGCAGTGGGCAAGACAATTGTCGGGCAGCTACAGCTCCATGGACCTCACCATAAAGTCTTCATCATGGGGCGTAAGGTATGGGATACTTAGCACATGGGCAGCCTAGCTGTGGCTCACTTACTTAACAGGCTCCAACCGAATCTGTGGCAGACTGTCCTGAGTTTCTCCAAGTCGATTACGAAGACGTCAGCTCTCTTACCAAGATCTTGGAAGACCAGAAGATTGACACCGTGATATCGACAGTCAATTTGAAGACTCAGGCTGCAAGTCAGTCGCAACTGAACCTCATCCAGGCAGCCGATAGGTCTTGTACGACCAACCGTTTCATTCCGAGCGAATTTCTTTCATTCATGGATGAAAAGTATGTAACCCTTTATTTGAATCAAGCTTTCCTTGTCCTCCACATGCTCAACGCAAACAACAGCGACCCATCTTCCGGACTCGCAATGGGCGGATGGATCCCCAACGCTCTGGCTCTGAAGAAGACGAAACTCCAGTACGTCCGAATCTCTGTCGGCATGTTCTCCGACTACTGGGGAATGCCACATATTAAGAGCAACCTCCTGCCGTTTCGCGTTTTCCTCGACATGGAGAAAGGAAAAGCGGTGATTCCTGGTACTGGTGACGATAAATTCACCGTCACTTACAGTGAAGACCTCGCCCGAGTCATTGTCCGCCTTCTTGACACGGACAAGTGGCCTGAGCGCCTCTTCTTATCAGGTTCTGATATTTCCATGAATGAACTGGTTGCATGCGCCGAGAAAATCCGGGGTATGTCATGCTTCTTTTCCGTATCCCTAGTTCTTGGATGTGGCCACCTAACACTTGCACCTAAGTAGGCTCTAAAATTGATGTGGCTTATGACGCGGTTGAGAAATTAGGAAAAGGAGAAGCTACTCTTGTCTGGCATCCAGAAGGCATCCCGGAGCGCGAGTTCATGCCTCTGCTAGTAGGATTCTCTCTGATGATGATAAGTGGTGCTGGTATCCTGCCACATGATGACCGTAGGGTCGACAAACTCTTTCCGGATCTTCATCTAACAACAGTAGAGGAAATTCTAGTTACAGCTTGGAAGGGTAAATAGCCCCTTTGCCACAACTATAATTGTGTTATATGAGGCTCAGCAAGGGTGTAAAGAGTGACGGAGTGGGAAAATGCCAAAGAAATGGGCGAACCGAATTCCTGTCAAACGTCAGTCAGTTCGTCAATAGCCCCTATGTAGAAAAGCTTTTAGTTTTGGGATATGTATATCCTTCAGTGCTGGTCAGTTGAATCACAGTACTAGGATCATTCACATAGAACTGGATCAGTTCATGGTTCACGGGCTAGGAGGCGATGGCAGCTAGGTACAAAAATAAATTACGGCCAATTCGCCTAGGGACTATTCTGTAATTCAAGATTTAGTTCATTTCTGTGCAAGTGCGCTCAGAGCCTCTCGGCGAGATACCGAGTTGGGGTCGTAGTACGGCTTCTCGCCGATCGAAACAACCCGATTGCCTTGGCGCACACCCTCGTAGTCGCTGAAATATGTTAGTGACCAATCTGAAGTAAATGGGACGGAGTTTTCTTACTTTGTTGGAGTGTGGAAGGTCGAACGACTGGGAGAAGTTAGTCGGATGAACTTGTCCGAGGTATGTCTAATAACACTCACTTGTCCCAGATAGCAACATCACCAGCGTTCCATCGGAAGCGAACCTGAATGTCGTGGTTCTTGGCGACGATGTCGTAGACTATTTCGTTCCGTCAATTCTATTCATGCAAATGATGTGGGAAAGCTCTCACAGTAAGCTTTAATCAGCTCGCTCTCATGCTCCGTCACGCCGTCAATCCAACCCTTCTCCACCTGGGCACCGAGCCCATACAGACTCTTCCATCTGTGAAAGAATCAGTGAATGCTAAGACTACTGTGGCATAATGTTATTTACCCCGTCACTGGGTTCGTTCGCACAACAGGACTGAAGTTGGTTAGCGAATATATAATATCAAATGTTGGTCCATACTCACTGCGAAGCCTTGAAGTCCAGCCCGGTATTCTCGGGAGACCCACGCTCGCCGTTTATGAGCTCAACACCGTGCTTTTTGACAACTTCTAGGACATTTGGCTTTCAACAGGTCAGCTACTGAATGAATAACTTGATTCGTGAATTGATTAATACGCACCTGATGATGGGTTGCAGTCAGACCCTCGGCAAACCTTTGCCAAATAGTTGACAAGCGCTCATAGGCCTCGTACCCTGATGCCCAGAGGGTGTCACCACCAGGTTCGTTGGCCGGCACTGTGTGAATACGCAGGATTGAGTAATCAGATGGGACTCGTTCGAAGGAAACGCTTGCCAAATGTCAGCTCATTGCTTATTCTAGTCACAAGTCCCATAAAGGAGGAAAGAAGGATGGCTGCTTACTCAGAATGCCATTCCTTGCTTGCAAACTGCTTTGAGAATCCGGAAAATCTCTCTTTGTAGAATTTTCGAGTTTGCTAGATAGTTTGGATTAATATAAGCAAACATCGCACACATTCATACAAGAGATATACCTCAGATGAGATTACAGAAATCTCGTCGTCCAGAGTTCCCTTATCATCGACAGCGATACCTCGCTTGCTGTTGGACAGGGCGTGCTTGTGGAGCTAAAGTAGGCAGATATTTTATCAATACAAGTGTTTCAAACTAGTAACCATTTTGAGAAATTATACCTTTGAAGTTTCTGGCTTCCCAGAGAGCTCACCCAGTTTGCGAGCAAGGGCTTTCTGATCCGGGACAATTAAATCCTGGCTACGGAAGAAAACAACACCGCGCTGAGAGACTACGATATTTGTCAGATAATCTCCGCGTCGATGTCCATGCGCGTTCAAGCTTTTTACAAACGTACCAGTGATGGCCAGGTCTCTGATCTTAGTGTCGTCTTTAAGGATCTCGGTAAGTTGGACCTCTGGAAACTCCCTCCCAATGGCAGGGGTCACATCAAATGACTTGTATTCGTCTAGTGATCCGCTGTATTTCAAAGGCTCACGGATTGCTGACTGTCTCAACGTTGTAAGCTTCGCTTGTACCGGGACTGTAGTAGTTGCGAGGCCAGTATCGGCATCTGCAGCGGGTGGAGCCATGGCTTCGATATCTAGAACGATTTGGAGAGTAAGGGTCGCAAGTCAACAAGGAGGTGATTAAAAAGTAGCCTATAATGTGTGATGTCTATTGTATTTCACCGCGTCTTTGTCCTAGTACATATATCTTCCGATAACGCTTGAACTGAAACCCGTAATCATGGTACCATCGATACAGATATGACACAATCAGTGCATGGCTTCATCTGGTTCCAACTGGAGGGATATCGCCCGAGCTAGCGTAGAGAAACTAAACCTACTACGTTGCAACTCCCCGTCCTTGGTATTCCCCGGTATTCCCGTATGTGACTTAGTGTCGAGCCGGAGACTGGTGGACTTGTTATTTGTAATACAACGTCCAGGGCGGGGGTGAGGTCGTGAATTATCTGATTCCATCGTATATTTCGGGAAATGAATGGAGACAAAATGCCCAACCTGCCCAAGGATGGCCTTTCAACTGTCCAGGTCGGGTCTCCAACGTACCGGGCCTCTGGATACACCGACACGTGGTAAGAGGTGACAGGAGCACTTAGGATAACGGGCTTGTCTCGAATGGAGAAGACGGTCAACTATCGTGGGTATCAACATCAGAGGAGACCTGGGACCCCAGTGGCTTCCTTTTCCTTCACCTAGTGACCCCAGTCAAACTCCACCGCAACCATAAGGACTGAGGTAATTACCAAGCCAAGGGCTATGGCGAATTACTGACTATTCTGATACCATCAGATATGGGGGAAATAGTTCAATTCCACCACCAGCCTGCTCAACTCGTGGTTGCGTGATTGCAAGACATGATGAAAATTTATTATACTTCCTACCAGATGGCAGAAATTGACCCAAGGCTTTCCTCTTCCATTCGACTTCCTTCATACAGCCTTTGTAGCAGTCATGTCTATTACTTCTCGGTTCGCCGAGATCATCAAATGGTATCCTAAGGGGATGCCATTATTGGAGAGAAGGCTCGTTCAAAAGATTGATTTGCTGGTCCTGGTCTATGCCTGTTTGGCCTTCTTCACCAAGTACCTCGACGTGTCGGCATTAAGTAAGCGCAGACTTGGAGTACCATTGGAGTTGCGCAAGCTGACAACACCAAGACAACGCGTACGTGTCCGGAATGAAGGAGGACCTACACCTAACCGGAGACCAGCTGAACTACATCAACGCGGCTTGTGAGTATTTTTGAGAGTATTAGAGAAAGAGAAATTTACTCATACACGCGTCTTCAACAGATGAGGTTGGGTACACGGTGTTTCAGATTCCAAGTAACATCATCCTCACTCGCATTCCGTAAGTACATCCTACGAAACCCAGGTGAATAATGCGTTAACATGTTATAGCGCACACTACTACCTTCCTGGCGCAGAAGTCTTCTGGGGACTCTTTACACTTGGAACCGCGTTTGTGACCGACTACAAACAACTGGCTGTAATGCGATTCTTTGTGGGATTAAGTGCCACATCGACCTATATCGGGTGCCTGCATGTCATCAATTCGTGAGTATTCTGACATATAGACTAATGAGATTTACAATTGGCTAACCTTTCATGAAGATGGGTATGTCATCAAGTTACAATATATCTGTGTCTATGAAGTCTCGCCAAGACCATTCTCCGAAGGCTTCCATTGCTCCCGAATCCTGTCCTCCATCTAATATCGTTTTCATAATAGTACAAAAAGAATGAGCTTGGAAAGCGGAACGCCATATACTTTTGTGCGAACCCCCTCGGCACAATGTTTGCAGGTTATTTGCAAGCTGCAGCATATACAAACCTTCACAACGTGAATGGGTTGCAAGGCTGGAGGTATTTGACCCACAACACACGGCTTGCTTGATACATATTCTAACATGCACAGGTGGTTGTTCATCATTTGCACGGTCATCACAATCCCCATTGCCTTCGTGTGAGTATTTTGCGCCATTCGCCCGCAGAAGATGCGTTGACACGATATAGCGGATTCATCTTCTTCCCTGACGTTCCGGAACGTACGACAACCCGCTGGCTCACCGACGAAGAAAAGGAGCTGGCAAGGACACGCATCAAGGCCGACGGATTCCAGAAACGTATTGGCTTGAATCGCAGCATCTGGAAGCGGCTCTTCAAGAACTGGAGAATGTACGCTTTCGTTCTGCTGGGTTTGTCTCTGTCAAACAGCATTTACGGTGCAGGTCTTCCATTCATCCTCTGGCTCAAGTCTCAGCCAGAGAGGTACGACACTGCAATGGTCAATAATCTGGGCACCGTCTCTTCAGCCGTTACGGTCGTGTCTGCCATTATTGTGGCCTTTTGGATTGATCTGCGCCAGAAGAGGTATCAGCCCGCACTTCTATTTGCCATTCTGCTCATCTTCTCCAATGTTGTTCTCACAGTTTGGGACGTACCGTACGGGCTTCACTTCTTTGCCTACCTCGCCCTTGGGGCAGGCGTTGGCGGCTTTCCAGTTGTCTCAACTTGGATTGCGGATGTGTTTTCTGAAGATGCCGAAGCTCGTGCCATTGTATTTGCTGTGAGAAATACGCTGGGGGAGGTTTGTAGTCTGGTTGTCCCACTGGTTGCCTGGCCCGTTTCACGCGGACCAAAGTTCAGGGGGGGCTACATCTGGGTGAGTACTTTCTTTCACATTATCTTCTGTATATTTGACTCACAGTAACTCTTACTGACCGTCACTTAGTCTATTTGTGTTTCTGTTCTATATCTTGTCTGTATCGGACTGTGCATACTTGTTCAGCGAAGAATGGATCGCACAGCTACTGCTAATTCGCTATCAGCTGGCGAGGGCACATCTGGAGGTAGTGAAGGATCGGACGTAACAGAAGACGTGGCAGCAGGAAATGGTCTTCTTGGTGACTCCGCGGCCAAGGACAAGAGTGTGATTCAGGTTCGAAGCCAGGGTTAGAATGCCAGATTGGCGCCTTTGGGGGGGGACAATGTCAGTATCGATGACCAGATGAACAATTTGTTGTGAAATCACAACATATACCAATTTGTAACACAGAACTTTTAGACAGTCAAAAATGAGCAGGTGGAGCAGCTCTTGTGGGCTTTTGCCCACTACCTTGCGTCCAACAGTGATTATTGTATTAAGTATTACTACCAAATAACGCAGGCGGACTATGAATTCTGAATTTGGATAAACAATGATATAAACCAATTAGATTGTAAGGTGTAGCATGGTGCAATACCTCGACTGCTATCTCGTAGTAGTGACAACGTTGCCGTTGAGCAACGTTGAGACGGCCTGACAGTCCTACTTGACGCCGATACCTAGTCACAAGGGGTAATCCGTGGACCCAACCAGAAGAAAAGTCTAGGTCTTTGATTGCACAATCCACGGCATACCTCACTTCTAGGACAGGCCCGCTAAACTCGTAATTTCCTGGTTCAATGGCATCATAAGCTATCCTGCTCCGACGTCGCCTCCCCTGCTGCAGGGAAATGGGTCATGAGTTGGTATGCCCTTGAGCTCGTGCTTTCCAAATTATTTCCCTGGACCGACAATCAACCGAGGTTTTGATAAATATCCTTTCCAAGGATGGGTTCCATAAGCCAAGTACCACTTTACGTTCAATGTAGCATCAATACAGTTTGCAATATAAAGATGTCCCCCCAAGCCACAACGCAGCCTCTACGAGTAGGGATCATCGGCGCCGGCATCTCAGGGCTAACAAACTATATTGCTCTGATTGAACTTGATAATGTTCAAATCAGCATATATGAACAAGCCCAGGAACTGAAGGAGATTGGTGCCTCTATCGGACTTGGTCCGAATGGACTGCGGGGACTTCAAAGGCTCGGCGTTCATGCTGCCTTGAATGACAGGCTTGGCATCCGAAACCCTTCGACCTGGCCCATGATATACAAGTTCGTGCAGGTTACAAGCAAATCTTGATAGCATGAGGCACTGACCGAAAATGCAGACACTGGAAGACCAACGCAGTTCTGGGCTATGACACGCACCAGGATGTTCCCGACCGGCTGCATCACACCGCACGTTTCCATCGGGCACATCTCCAAAAGGTTCTTTTGGACGCTATCCCGAAATCTGTTATCCACCTGAAGAAGCGAAGTGTTGGTTTAGAACCAGACCATGACAGTGTCACTATTAATTTTGAAGACGGCACTTCCGTCACGCAGGACTTGGTTGTTGTTTCGGATGGCATTCATTCGGTAGGTTTTGTGATGGCACGAGACTGGCCCTTCCATGAAAGCCGGTACATTCTGTGTCTATTCATGCTATCAAGTATGTCGTAACTGAAACACCCGCTCTAGGCCATCCGCCAACAACTTTTGCCGGATCACAAGAACTTCCTGACAGGTTGGACTTCATTTCGTGCTGTTTATGACGTGTCTTTATTGGAAAGATTCCGGGACAGTCAAGAAGTGGAGATACCCACAGAAGCTCTCCATTACGTTGGCCCCGGTAAGATTCACTCAGTTGGATGGTGTCTCTGAGGTATTAGAGTGCTAACTAATGCTCGCGTAGATCGTACGTTCTTTACGACTCCTCTCGGTATGGCACAAACCTATCCAGCATCAAGGTAGTTACCAATGTTGACGTAGAGTTCATGTGGATTAGGGGGGAATTTGATTGCCGTTGTTGGTGGTTACGCAGCTGCGCAGGCAACAGACAATGAGCAGTGGAATGTTGCCAGTGCAGATCACCGACAAAAGTTCATGAATCTATACAAGGTGAGCAAGACTAAACACCCCGCTGGACGACTCCAGGCTAAGAATAAACAGCATTGGGCCCCTACTGTAAGGGCCCTGATCGAGACTGCCCCATCAGTTCGGTCTTATCCTGGCCACTCTGGAAGCATAGCGCGGCAATGGGTCTTCAACAGTCGAATTGTTTTGACCGGTGATGCAGCGCATCCAATAGGCCATGCAGGTTTCGGAGCTGGTATGGCCATTGATGATGCACTGGCCCTATTCATGGCTCTCGAGAGAATTCAACTGAGTTCCGAAACTAAAGGTACTGTCTTGGAGAACGCGTTGAATCTATTTCAATCCGTGCGAAAGCCACATGCAGACCGTTTGGGCGATTTCTTGGCCCGGACAGGCAAAGCAAAGTCTATCTATGGGAAACATCTTTCTGAGGAACAGATCCTAGAGTGGGTGAATGGTCGCGAGAATACTGCTTGGATTCATGAGCACGATGTCAATGTCGCCTTTGGATTGGCGGATGCCTTGTCACTGTAAGAAGGTACGTTTTCAGGCGGCACTTTATGGCTAGCAAAAAATTACAGCAGTATGTGCTTGGAATATCCATTGACTCTCGTGCCTGTGGGAACTTGTAATAGTCATGCAGACTGTCGATGGAACAATGTCGGTGTCTTAATAATAACTATCCTAACCGGCCGGATTGGCTCCTTGCATCATGTTTGGACTGGTGTTAGATACCATGAACTACTACCGGGCATAGCTTGACGTGGCTGCCTCCTCCTACTTCCCTTTCAAGTCAAGCCTTCTGTTCTCCATGATTAAATGGAGCACGACAACGATACCGAGGGCAGCAGTTTCAACGATGAATGCTAGCACGCACCGTGACCCAGCGGTGTGCACATACATACATAAGCCTCGAATGCTCCAAATCGTTGCTAGGGCGTTATCCAAAGCTAACGCTGCGGCGTGCTTGGAGACTGGCCCAAGGTTGGTGTTTGAGGTCCAATCGTAAACACGGTAATCTAGATCCCATCACTCTGTGTGATGGATATACTTTTCGGCTGGGCTTGGGCAGGTACTAGTGAAAATTCCTCCCCTGCAGTATGTATTGACTCTATCTCTAACCATGCATTAGCCTACAATCTGCAAGGTCAGGTTCATGTGTTTGGATGGTAGGCAAGTGAGCTATCAGACAAGGCTTTGCTAGGAAGACAATCCCTAGCTCCATATAGCAACAGTTACTTAGAGTTACAGCCGCCGGCATCCTACAGGATTCCGCGCAGACCAAGGGGAAACTCCCGTGCGTATGCGGCACATGTTTTGATCGGCGTGACTTAGCCTACGCTTGCCAACCTGATTGGCAGGCTCGCATGACACGCTCGCATAACTCGCCGGAGGGATTAACTACCTTGTCATACCTCCACACGTTAAGGCTGATGGGGCTCGTACAGCCCTTCGGCAAAAGCCTCTTCCTAGCCGGCTCATTGAAATTCACGCTCTTCGTCTTGACCTTGGAATGTCACCAACAAATGTCGATTGGCGTGTTCGGACTTATCCTGGTATCTGGTTCAGACTGCCTTAAGTTGCCTTGTTTCATCTCATTACATGTCTCACCGTGTTGAAATAAAAGGATTTGGACTACGACTTGGATAGCTAAACTTGGTCAAAGCGGTTAGATCCGTCTAAAGTGGGCTTCTTAATGTTTGATGAGCATTCGGCTGAATCATATATAAAGGTCGTTTCATCACGCCATTTTGCTGCTCTCAACTGCTCATCTAACACTTCAACCGGCAAGTTTCGATCCTGTGCATTGTTCTTGAGAATCGTCTGTTAGTCTTTCACATTGAGTATCACAATGCGCTTCAACATTTTATATATTGCAATTATTTCCAAGGCTTGCATGGCCGTTGCGATTCCCGACACCCATGAATCCGACCTCGAGACACGCCAATGTACATTTGTCAAATGTGCCGATGGTGTATGGAGGGTATGTTTGCTGTCCATCATAAGATAGCCCGTGCGATTTCTAACTCATTCAAAGTGCAGTTGGGAGTGCTAAGGCGTTTACAGCGTTGCTGATTGGCTCTCGCTCTTCGACTTCGATCAGCTCGTATGTTGGCATCAATTTCCCGCAGGTATTACATGCCTACTTTAGTTAATGCAGCGCCTGAGATGTCTTCAATTAAGTTGCTTTTATATGTTGAGCCTATATAACTTGATTCTTTAGCCCCTGTCAAGCACCGATGAAAATTCCGTGGTAACACGTTACTCCATCATCACCTACGAGATCACTAATCCTATACATCCATTCACGACATTATACTTTCTTAACGTTGACATTCCTAGATGCAGTAGTAAATTAGACTAGCGATAGACTTGGGAAGGGAAGAAGAAAAAAGAAGGGCATTAGTTGAACAACCCTACAAGCTCAGACTGGTGCACCACTGTTGAAGGGGGCCAAACTCTGAAACGACTTGGGATGGATCATGCAGACTTGCAGGACTAAAATTTCAAACCTAAGAACAAAGGAAAATCCAAAAGATAAAGACAGAATATCCAACCGTTTAAGAGCTAAAACCTGCGCTCCAGCCTCTCTCCAGCCTCACATATTCTCAGCAACAGCACCCTCGCATGTACCTTTGTCCTTTGTTGCCCGCTCCTATTCTGCCTCCTTTGCCTCCTCTCTCTGGGGCGCATTCTCAGATAGCTGGTTCGTCACTACCTGCATTGGGATATGGAGTCTGGACAAGTGGTAATATTTGACCAACCTGTAGTGCAAAAACTTCATGTAAGGATTACCATCGGGGCTCACGGCTGGTTCGCCCAGTACTCGCAGGCTGGGGACAGACACAAAATCGACACGGTGGCCATCTTCAGCGGGTCCTATCTCCTGGAAAGCGCCATCAGCCTTCATAACGGTTTCGTCAGTAGTGAAAGTGAAACCGCTCTTCTGGTTCTGGTCCGATGAGGGATCGCTCATCTCGATCCTGTAATCCCATCTGGATGCCAGCATTTGGCGATCTATAAGAATAGCCAGGGTGATAATACGCGACAGTTTCTCCTCGATAATGCCAGCGTCTGCGCCTCTGGCAACAAAAGAGGGTCGCAGATGGTCCCATAGAGTTTTCTTGACCAACTCACGGTCAACATGGTCCCCATTGAACGCGTACAATAATCGCACCGACTCACTCCTCCACGCGTAGAAGGACAAGGTGAACTCGTTGTCAATTGAATCGACGTGCGCTGTGGCCACACAAATTACTCAGCATTAGTGGTGGGATCAAGATATTGGAAGAAGAGTAGGGTGACTCAGAGGAGCTGTGTCAATGGATGGAGAAGGTACCTTTGAATTTGGAGTGGAATCGACCGAAACTTGTCCAGTCATCACCGAACCATCTCTTACTAGATGGCGAGAAAATGCAGTCCAAAAGTATATGCCAGACCCAAGCTGCATAGATGCAAGATGATCCATCTTCACGCTCGCGCGCCTCGCAAAGGTCAATGTAGTCCTTTGCGAGAGGAAACCAAGTGGATAGTGACTTTTCGCCCAGGTCGTTGACATAGTCCCATGAGATGATCTCAGGCAATGCGTAATTAGCTAACGTGAGTATTTCTGCTTGGAGGCCCGGCCACCAACTGTTCTCAAGGAATGGGATGTCGTCGGGACAGCTCTTCCGATAGTTCCAGCGATCCGTCGCTTCTTTCGGAAGACGCGGCAACACAACATTGTTCTTCCAGGTCTGCACATCTAAGGACGGTCCACCCGGTCCTTCTTTTTTTTTAACAACTTTCTCTTTGCCCTGTAGGGCAGCGGTAGGCGATTCCTTACGCTTCATGGAAGGGTCGCCTAGGCCCTCTCCAGGGTTGGCAATGGATTTTTCGACGTTAGAGGCCATTTTGCGCGACTATGAACAAGTCAATTATTAATCAAGAGAAAAAGGGTGATGTTAAGGGACATACATTTTAGTGAGGGAAATAAAAAGTAAGTCTATCAACTATATAGGAAAAAAGGTCAGATCCTGGAGGGGTCCGTGAATTAGAACAAAGACGGACTGACAAAGGTCAGGTCCTAGAGGGGTCCGTGAATCAGAACAAAGGCGGGCTAACGCTTGATCACACTAGAAATAGAAACACACTCACTGAAACTCCCCTCTTCATAGAGGGGATAGATTGACTTAGCTCAACTTGAACCCCTTTATTCCCCGTTCAAACAGGCGACTTACCAGAACCAACTGGAACTTTAGGAATGATCATGCCACTTCATATTTTCCTCTTGTATTTCGGCCCAATTTCTGCCTGTTCGGAAACTTTTCCATTACACAAGAGAGGGGTAAAGATGGTGTGGCGGCGGCTGTGTACAACCATGTGACAAAGACAGAAAATAGCCTGTCAGTGCCACAGTGATAGAACTAGGTAGGGATTGTCCATCAAGTCTGCCTGCATGTTGACCACAGTTTTCAACCTCGACGAACAGCTCGTTGTCTTTGGGCCGCGACTTTTGTCGACATGGCTGGCGCATCAACCCATTTCGTGTAACTTTGTACCAGTGGCACATGTAGGTTCTCCTCTCGTATTCATTGTGTTGAGATATCGGGTCCAGCATCTTTCATACCGTTCACGTTGGCCCCGCACCGTGGCGTTTAACCATCGATCGGGTGAGATTTGTGTTGAGAACTGTCACGCTGAATAGGAGTCCATAGCACTCCCGCCCCAGTATCTACCCCTTCTGCAACAGCTACACTTCTATGAACCAATCTTGCTCTTGGCCCAACCACCTCTGTATCCTAACAACACCCGTCACCTGATGACACCACCTATCTTTCTCATAGGAATATCCTCTCTGTGTGTTTTCAGTTAGCTATATTCTCATCCAAAACCCCGAAAGCCTTACTCTTTTTCCATTTCCCGTCAACACTATCATAATGGCCTCATCCCCGGATACGGAGATGATCTCGTGTACATGCGAACATGAAAAGGCTTTCATTGGAATTGATATGGGAGCTACTGTGTGATGCGGTTTAGTATGTGCAGCTAACATCTTTAGCTGGAATTGGGTGGCATCTGGAGCAGCTCTCTCAGAGCTTTCTGGGGTATCCCTATTCAGGCACTCAATCGGCTATACTGGTTGAGCGAATAGAGAGCCTAGATGATGGCTTGCTCGTGGATCCAATAGTCGTAGATATGGAAATATTATTTTACGAACTATTGAACCGAGGCACGATGTGATTAGCAGACTAAAAGTTATACATACGCCTCTTTTATTAAAGATGAAGGGAGGCTATATAATTACACCAGCCTTAGATAAATATTCCTCTAGAAGACTTAGAGAGGTCACTTAGGTAGTTAATTTAATTATCTTTCCCTCTATATATTATAAGATTATTATTATACCCATAAACTAAAAAATAAAGAACAAGAACAAGAACAATATTAAAGAAACAGGAAATATATAAGACCCCTTGTATAGCAAGCCTTTCCCTTTAGTCTCTATATCTCTTGGTACAATGGAGACGTTCTCTGTCTTCTGTCTCAAACCGACCTGTCACCATGGAATCCCTCCTTGGAAAGGGCACAAACTCTCCATTTCTGCTAAGACCTGGAGGAGGTTTGCTCCCCTTTACATGGATATATATCCCCCGCTCATCTGCGGCCTTTATGGTTTTAGGAAAGCGGAGAGTAATGCCAGTTAGGTATGACAGCTGAGTTTGTATCCCTTGCAGAAAAACGGCCTTGAGGTTCCTGTACCGCTCTGATTTGACCATTGCCTCGACCACGTCGTCTATATATCCCAACTCCGAGCCACTAATCTGGTCAAGCTTGAAAAAGACGGGTTCATCGCTTTCAAATTGGCCGAATGCCACAATCTCCATTTTAGCCGGTAGAGCATTTTTGAAGATCCCGAAAAGTCGTTCAAGAAGCTCAGATCGCGATTGGGCCTTTTCATTGGGATCTAGACCAGCTTCTATTGCTCTCCAATCCAAGTTGGCCACACGGAGATCCTCGAACGGTATGAGCTCGTCTAGGGTCCTCCAGTTCAAAGATGACGGCCCCTCGTCTTGTTCGTCATCATGGATGCAAAGCCGCTGAAGAGATGGGCCCTGGTGTTTGGAGAGCTCGTACACCATGCGCTCGGTGTTTTCCGGAAGATCATTGTAATTGTTCGTATTGAATCGGATGGCTAGTGCTTGAAGAGCCCGCGGGATCCTAGCGATAAAGTCTATCAGTCTATCGCTCAGCTCGTATTCCAGCATATCGAGAATGATTGTCTGGACTGGTGATGTTTTGGCCAGGGAGGGCCGAATATCTTTTGGGCAAAGACTCCCCCTATCACGTAGTGGAAGACCACCGTCCACATGAGAAATATACACCTCGGATATGTTTGGCAAGCAGAGCAGAGCGCAAAAATTGTCTGCACTCCTACTTAAATATTCGGGCGGCACGACCTCATCATCGGTTCGGTCAAGGCCTATGTGGAGGGAAACCTTTGAAAGTGATTGTAGCCCAGGTAACCAGGTCCCTGCAGACTCGCACCAATACATGAAACCACTCAGTGCATCAAGGCTGTGACGCGTGAGTTCGTCATCGACCTGGGCATAGCGCAAAGCTTGAATGCGCGGAAGGTGAGCCAGCAGAATGGCTTTGGGGAGACTATCACGGCATGACTCAAACACTTGCCGGAGCTCGTCATTGAGGTTCCGGCTCTCGCCATAGAAACGAGGCAGCTTCAGCATCGTATCACAGAAATAGTTGGTCTCCTGGTTAGAAAGCGGCCAGGGTACTGTGTCCCCTTTTACAGTTCTCTTGCCAGTGTCCACGTCCACATGCCAAGTATCCCAAATGGCTTCCCAGGAATCAGAATTGGAACCCTCTCTATCGCCCCAGACCTCGAACTCCCTGACATGCCATGCCTCGATTGAAGCTGCACCCTGGCTGAAGACACTCCATAATAAGTTGATGACTGTCCGTGGATCAAGATCGGAGGCGACTCGAAACTCTTGCCAGGCCTTACGATGACGCTCAAGGATTGATTCGGAGTTGAGGTATATGTACTTGCATGTCTGCGCAAGAGGCCAGTGGGCTGAAGCATGTGTGTGCTCGATGACGAGCTGCAGGATCTCCGGGGCGAGAGTGCTAAGAAAAGGAGAGACATCCATCACTGATAAAAACTGGTCAGATGAAGATGAGGTGAGGTGTGATCAGTAGCACTCGGGATTTATCTAGGAGCGGGGTCAAGCCACCATAAAAAAAAAGGGTTGCGCGATGTTATTAATAGCAACAGACAGCACGGACGCTATCATCATTCTATTATTTATTTTAAAGTATATTCAAGGGAGACCTTATATTTTAAAATAGTAATGATCTAGCCTTTACTACCTACTTAGTATATGTTACTCAATTTGTTTAAGGGCTTAAAGACTTGCTATTTGATATATGATAAATTTTGGGGTGATGCATGACTTATATATTTGTTAAAGAGCTGTCCCTGCCCACATCGTACCATTTTACTTGCCGAGCAGTTAGTGCAGCTTATCGGCATCTTCAAGAATCACCGCACTAGCTTTCTCACTCATCATAAAGAGGGAAATCAATGGGAAAGTCCCAGGTGTAACAGGGAACACGGAAGCATCCGCAACCCGCAAGCCTTCGACCCCACGAACACGGAAACGAGAGTCCAAAACTGCCAGGGGGTCGTCATCGCTGCCGATAGAAGCCGTACCGCTAGCGTGATGACCGTACGCCTCGTTCCGGACAAACTCTTGGAGCTGCTGCTGGGAGCTGACATCCCTGCCAGGGTAGACCTCGCCTACTGTACCGCCAGGGACGGAGTCGAAAATCTTCCTGGTGAACTCGATGCCATCAACGAGACCCTGGACATCTTCCTTCCCACCGTCTGTGAAATAACGAAAGTTGATTTCGGGGACGTCGAGAGGATCAGACGACTTGAGAGTGACAGTCCCAGCCTTGTTGCGAGGGTGCGACTCAGAAATGGTATAAGTGTATTTGTTATTGATCTTTGAGAGCTCAGAGCTGTTAGTATAAGGCGGAACATGTCCAAGGATGACACTAGAGACACCGTATAGGATCAAATCACGCTCGCCCCGTGGTGCATCCTTGGAGGTATACAGGACAAACTCATAAAACCCAAGGGTGGTCCAGGGACCCTTGCCCTGGAGCCACTCGTGATAGCAAGGGTTCTGCTCGAGGCTTCCACTGCACGTATCAAAAAAGGTGAAGTTGTCGTGGAATTCGTGAACAACGGGAACTTCGTAATGGTCCTGCAAGTTACGACCGACACCAGGAAGGTCCAGTACGACCGGGATGTTGTGCTCTTTCAGGTGCTCAGCTGGACCAATACCGCTGTGCATCAAGATCTGTGGTGTGTTGAAAGTACCACCAGCGACGATAATCTCGCGCTTTGCAGTAACGCTTCTAGGAATGCCAGTGGTGTTTTTGGAGGCCGCCCGCGGATCGGCGCGGTACAAGGCCTCTCCCTCCAGGTACTCAACACCAGTTGCGCGCAAATCATCGTCCAACTTGATCTTTGTGACAAAGCTATCGAACCGAACAGTCAGCGGGAGGCCTTTGCTGATGCCTTGATTGACTCGACTGCCAGCGCTAAAACGCTTTTCTTGCTCGTCCTTTTTGAAGGAGATCTGGTAGACATCATTTTGGAAGTCGCGGTCAGGCCGATCCTGGTTGATGTCCCAGTTCGCGACGACGTCAAAGTCGTCACTCTTGGCCCTCTCGGAGTACCCGAGCGCTTCGTCAGACGCCTTTGCAATGGCCATCACTTGCTTGTCCGACTCGATCAACGTCTTGTTGGCCCTACCCACAGGTTGGTAGCCGGAAAAGCCGTGACCTGGAGTATCCTCTGGCAAATAGAGGTTGCGCTCAAGCTTCTTGAAATACTCAAGCATGTGCTCATGGCCCCAGGTCTCATCCCCGGTGATGTCTTTGATATTGTCCCAGTCCCAGTCGGACGGACGCACAGTCAATCCACCGTTGTGAGTGTCGCAGCCGCCGAGAGTGCCCGCGCGGGGATACCATACACCGAGTTGCTTAGAGCCCTCGGGAGGGTTCAATCCCACCCAGTACTGGCCGTCGGGCTTCAGCCAGACCATCTTGCTGTTTTTGGCGCGTTGCTCCTCATCATCGTAGTCCTTTGTGTAGAACCACCAGCCTTGGGACTCGTCCCACTGTGCCTCTCCGAAGAAGGCCGGGATCTCTTGGCTAGGCTGGTCTGTGTGATTTCGCCCAGCCTCGAGGATGAGGACTGAGTAACCTGCTTCGGCGAGATTGACTGCCAGCGGACCGCCCCCGGGACCTGACCCTATGACGATGTAATCGTAGCTGTCGGCCTCGCCGCTCCGAGCTTGCAGATTATCGTGAGGGCGTGCCAGAACTTGAGAACTAATGGCAGCAATAGCTCCCAGCGCCAAAGTTGTTGCCCTCATATTGACTGTGATTCCGGGCTGATCAGATGAGTTGCTAGAGAAGAAGGATGGTGGCGAAAAGACTGCATAGAGCTTGCCTATTTATGACCGTAATCCAGGCCATAGTCTTTGTCACACTTAACCATTCATGAGGACCTCGTCGACGCTTTCGCTCGCTTGCAGGAAACCAAACTGTGCCTTGTTCCTCGGCAATGATGGCGGAGGAAAAGATCTACAGAGATCTGCGCTTAGGTCGTATTGGTGTCAAATTTTTATCAATCAATCTTATCAATCTTCCCTCTTTCCTCTTCTAGCCGTAATGAGATGACATCGTTGCAACGATTCATTGGCCAGGTTCGCTTGTTGAGTCATAATTCCAAAAGGAGATGTAGCATCTGTGATATAATACCGGGTTTCGATGAGATGATTTCGTGCCCATTGGAGGATTCCCTCCCCTTGGCAGCAGCTTGCTACATAATACCTCATCTTTTGCCCTAGCTCCGGTAGATCGCGACAATCACAACAGCTGTCTGTTCCGATCTCATCCTCGGACTCTACCCAGGGAATCAAGTGCAAGCAGATGGCGCGTGTATCATGTTCTGCTCATTCTCGTAGTTCATGGTGTCATCCAGTAACCATACTCGTTGAATGCCTATTTTGAAATGTCGACCCTAAGATTCAGCAGTCAAAACACGGTGTACTAGAGCAACAGAGCTACTTGGACCCTGGCTGAGAGATATATCATGGATGTCGATCCCACCCTCCCCTCCGGTGTCATGACACAACGGATAAAATCGGGGGGGGGGGGCCTTCACCACGCTTTCCGCGGTGAAATTTTTCCGAGCTATCCTTGCAGCATCGAGTATGTTTAGGGAGAGGTATCATGGAACAATGCAGTCATAGACAACATCGTTCATTACCTCAATAAAACTCAATAATAAAATAACTTAATTTTCAGTCTCTTCCTGCTTCCTTTTATCCCAGCGAAAGCAAGTAAAAAACACCGTCAGAAACTTATCTACATGGAGCTTAGGCTTTCAATGACCCATCAGGTACCCACTAGGCAATGGGTACCTACTTACCTAATTTTAACATTTTTAGGCACCCGGAAGTCTTGTTGGACCGAGGCATCGTGGAATTCAGACCTGATGACTAAAGGGTCGAGGCGCATTATGATGAAAAGCGCCTCATTACATGAGAAAGACGTGTCACATGATTAAACTAGCTGTGTTTGAAGTAATGCAGACAGCTACAGATAAGACCTATTTCGGAAGACCCGGAATTGCAAGATAGCTGGAGAATACACACACATCCCTGCTAATTTTGACGATTTGTTCCAACAACTCTGATTCATGGTCAGCTCAGATATCTCGCTCTGTTTCGGATCGTTCAACTCCAGGTTGTGGCAGCAACCTCCGTGGCAGATGTACCGCCCGCGGATTTGGGTACTGAAACTCGGGGAAGATATGTAGGAATGCCATATAAAGGCTTCGCTGTCGTTGACGTGTGGATAGATAAATAATCTACCAGATGGGGCCGCTCGACCAGATTAGCGAAGACGATAGGGTGTGGTCAGGGTTAGAATTGAATGGATTTTCTTGATAGGCACACCACATCCTAGTTGAGAAGGCCACAGATGGCAAGAATGACTTTGGTAGTTTCATCTTCAGCGTTGACGTCCCCGACGTAACCAATTCTGCCCGCCCCAACTGTGGCCAAGGCAATTGCCGTCTCACTAAGAATTCCATCTGCGGTATAAAGAGCCGCCTCAGGCTGAACGCCTTGTAAAAACTGGGACTTCTGGCTGTATTGCCCAGGGAGGGCGGCCAGGCTCAAGCCTGCCGCGTTGTGCCCGGTGTGAAGGGCTACATTCAAGCGTTGGTAGATCCCTTGAGTCCAGCGCAAGTCGGCTTTCTCGAAGAACGCAGCGATGTCGTTAGGTCGAACGAAGCTACTGAAGTGGCCCATCGCAATGGCCGTGCCTCCGTGGCGGACGTAGTTTATAATGTTGATCCAAACTTCTGGAAACCGTCGTAAAGTTGGAATGTCATCTGATGGGAGCATATCATCATCGTCCGGTATTTGATGGATGGACAGGGCAGCATCTGTCAAGAGAAGGCCGTCGGTGGTTTGCCTGCGACAGGACGGAGTTCTCGGAGGGTTTCGTCGGGCGTGTAGGTGCTTACGACATCAGCCTTTTCTCGAAGTTCCTTGAGAAGTTCGTGGTGGGTAGCTTCGAGATCAGCTTGCTCGCGCAGTGAGACGAGGACAATACGGGGCTGGTTGGAGTTAGACATCGGATTATGGAATGAGAACATGTGGTTGTCCGAGGGCAGGGCTGCAGTTGAGTTGAAGAAGTCTCGTTGGCTAGTGAATGGTGTAATTCTCACCAGAAGCGTGGCGTCATTTCGGTATGCTGTCGTAGCTGTCATTATTCCTTGGGATGATAACAGCTCGTTAGGGGTTCCCTTTTGCGACAGAGCTCAGTTACTCCGCGGCGCTATGACCTCGCCGATTGGTGCCCGCTCCGCAGATGGGGCATTATGATACCCACCAGCGGTGCGAGGGCAGACGTGGCGGGCATGTCATCGCACCCAGCTCGAATTTTGTAGACAATTTGCCGATAGCAGTGGCTGACATTCCATGGCTGGCTTCGAGTTTCGGCTGAAGGACGGAGTCGGGTGCTGGTTTCGTTATGCTGTCACGATTTCGTCTTGCGCCACGGCGCCGATATAATCAAATACCTAATCCCGCAAAATTCGAGGCTTCTTATCGAGCTCTTACAAGAGTCCTTCTTGTGCAAGCACTCAACCATGACGCAACCATGTGAGCCGTGGGTGCCCACCCTAATCTTATCACTACTTGCCGAGCCCGCAAGCCCTCTGCATTTTCTATGCCCCGGCCACTTGGGCCGGTGGAATCAATATTGCTAGGTCAGCCCTTGCCTCGACCACAGACAGAGCCTCAAAAAACCATGTGAGCATCGTCCGGAAGAACACTTCCAAGGTCACGCTCTTTCGTGAAACAAACAGGTCGCACCAGGTCCAACAGACTAGCCGTCTTTTTAGATCGCTTCGTGGGAGATAAACTACGCCATCGCGTGGTGTTAGAGGTATCTATCGGAGCTTGCTAGACTATTATAGGAGCCGAAAATGCTCGGCTTATAAGAAATACAGTGAAATAGGACATTAAGTGTGTTAAAGTCGCCGCTTATGTGACCGGATCGTGAAAGATGACTCTATCACTATCATATCGCACTAACTAAGGTCGGGGGCGTGCTAGAGTCTTATTAGGATCTAGGTAGAAACTGGAGTATTCACTTATTCACGGACGTTTTAATAGGCTCAACATTTCAGAAAGGCGACGTCGATGCATATTTATCGTCAGCATGGTGTTAACGGGATAAGTCAATATAGGGGAGGTTTCCACTTCGTCAACCCACGCCTGAGTTGGGAGATAATTTATATCTAGAGGTTGACTTATGATATAGTAGCATTGCCTAACTAAGAGGAGTCATGTTTATTATTCATTAGACGCGACGGCGGCAGGGCAATCCCCTTCAAAGGCACCAGCTCATTCTAAATAATAGTGTGAGGAGTCGAGGTCAAGTAGGGTTCAATTGATATCATAGCTCAGGTTCTATATACAAGACGTAGCGCAAAGAAATCAAAAAGAAGGACAAGATCGGTCTTCCCATGGCTCAGGGGAAATATCTAGTATCACGTGCGATGACACGTGATACTCTTGACACGCGATCACATGGTTTCGTGACAAATAGCTCTGTTTTGTGTTGGCAGCGATGGCTTGTTGCTACAGCGCCTAGTCGGAAATTTGTAGGCCCGAATCAAGACTGAAGCCAACTGCCGCGGCGCGCTTCTTACATAATACATACGATAGTGGTGATTAGGTGGCAAAAAATCAACTCTACCCCTGTCTCTCAAACTCCCACAGGGGTGGGAGCCCGAGTATCAATATATTTTGCTGCCTCCTCTACCAGGAATAAAGAGGTCATACGGTCATGTAAAGTTAAGCGGCCAAGGCGCCACAACTCGCCACAACTGATGCTACCGTATCACATGATGTACTGGCCAAACATGCATGGGGAAAAGTAGACGACACCCATGAGGTGGGCCAGAAATTTGGGACACTGGTGAGGCGGTGTAGAAACCAAGTGAGCCAAAGGGCCACCAACGCACCTATGGGGCAAGCAAGCAAAAAGCAGGGACCCGTTAGTAGATAGTAGATGTATGTTTGTGCACTCATGCAGTACTAAGAATTAAACATAGCAATACGTGTATAGACTTGCATGGGGCAGTTTCAAGTAAACAATGCTACCATTCTTACACTGATCAACTTTGCCCCCCAAATGAACAATCATCACGACGATGACACCAGTAGCTCCTCTTAGGTAGCGCGGAGCTTCCGCTCCTGACGCCTAGCTCAGGAACTTGCCTGCCAACAGAGCTATCGACGCAATGACGAAGCCAACAGTGTGCAAAACGTCCTTGGGCGTGAGAGGTAGCGGCTCATCTATCATTAAGCCAAAGGATCCCAGTGATAAGTACTTTTATCAGGCTTATTCTTTCGCGTGCTTCCACGAGGCAAGCGCCTTGCTTACCAAGCTCTGAGCTCGTTCCGAATAGGCGTTGGCGGTCCCTCTTTAGGGACCGGTCTCCTGTTCTACATTTCAGCCGACATGCCCAGCTTAACCAATAAAGTCGGTACCACCCATCCAGCTTCTTGAAAGGGCTGGTACAACCTGTGCTGTCCCAACGTAAGGGTTAGTACACTAAGGGCTATCCCATGGGAGGCACTAGTATATCGGTGGGAGCCAAGTTTTAGGTCAGACCTAGAAACAGGCTTAACTACTAACTATAAAGCTCCTAACTATTCCTTATCTTTTTAATATAGATAAAACCTAAATTATTACTTAATTCATTCATCATAAATACTTCACGTCTTAATAGTTTTAAGCTAGTTAAGATATACTAATAATTCGCTAATATACTAATGCTTATACTATTTTTGCTAGTTAGAGCCACTACGACTATAAGGAAAACAGCAATAAACACTTCACCGCTAGAACTAGCCCTAAATTTAAAGAATATTTTCCTGGTTAAAAACAGCGGCTATAGTTCAGCTAGCTTAAGGCTAGGTTATACTCAGGTTAGAAGCATAGATCAAGGGGTAAACATATATCTTTATCATAAGTTTTACATTCGCTCAGTCTATAAGCTCACGCATCCTAGTAGAGAGGGTGGTCATATATAATATAACTATATAATATAATGTAAACTAGTCTAGTTATCTTATCTAATATTTATATACATTTAAACTACCTGCCTTCCCCAAGTTATTCCTTTCCTTGAATTTTTCATATGCTGTCCTAACGATCCTTTCACCCACTACCTGCACCACCATTTTCCACTAAATTAATTGAATCATCCGCCAAGCCCCTACATCCAAGCAGAATGTATCACATACCTTGCCGGCTGTGTCCACCAGCCTTATCGCCATCGCAGAGATAAGCATGGAAGCCGATTAAGTTCTTGCAATAGTAATTGAAGTGTGTCTGAGGACAGTCAGGGTGTCCGAGGATGGCTGGTGTGTACGCGGCCATTCAGTGTGTACCTGGGACCAGCCATACGTCCTAGGACTAGCTACATATCTCAGGACTAGCTACACATCCCAGGACCAGCCATACATCCCAGGACCATCTATACATCCCAGGACCATCCATACATCCCAGGACCATCCATACATCCCAGGACCATCCATACATCCTAGGACCAGCCATACTTCCTAGGACCAGCCATACATCCCAGGACCATCCATACGTCCCAGGACCATCCATACATCCCAGGACCATCCATACGTCCTAGGACCAGCCATACTTCCTGGGACCAGCCATACGTCCTGGGACGTCCCATACGTCCTAGGACCAGCTACATGTCCCAGGACCAGCCATGTCCCAGGACCAGCCACATATCCCAGGACCAGCCACACGTCCCAGGACCACCTATACATCCTAGGACCACCTATACGTCCTAGGACTAGCTACATGTCCCAGGACCAGCCATCCCTGCGGTCCGAGGATATCTGTGCGGTCCGAGGACAGCTATGCGGTACTAGGACAGTCCTATGGTCCGACGACAGCTCTATGGTCCGCAAGCAATACAATCACTCATTTCAACATATACAAGGATAGCTAGTCTATACGCGGACAGCTAGCGTCCCTATAAAACGCCGCGCATTTTATACTCAGGCCGCAGTTTCTGGCCTAAGCTAAGTGCCTGGATATTAACTAAGGAATAATATACATAGAGTGTATATAAAAGGGGGAGTATATACAAAAGGGTGTGTTTCTAGCGCGGGGCTAAGAACGGCCGAATAGCTAAGCTATTTACAGCGTAGGCATAAAGAAGCCTTTTCCGGCTCTCATATATCTATATTCATAAATCAATGTTAATTATAATAAGTAATATAATCACTGATTTTAAAATGGGTAAAAAGAGAAGAAATAAGTAAGATAAGCTTATATATAACAGGTTATAAATAAACAATATAGTATAATATTGATTAATAGAATAGATAAGGTTTAAGTATAGTTTAGAGTATAACTAGCTTCCGCTCTATTATCTTTATATTTATTTTTAAGAAGTAGGAGTACCTAAAAATACCTTAGTATATATTTCCTACTATTTTATAGTATAGGAAATATCTATTAATAGCTAGTAAATAAGTTTCTTAAAGTAGACTAAGTACTAAGGTAGGAATAATTATATATATAGTATTAGCGCGAAATCTTAATATCTTTAGTAAGTGATAAGGTATATCCAGCCTTAGGTTGCTAGGCTAACTACTTAATTATATAATCTCTAGAGTAGCTATATTATATAGAAGATAGATTATAAATAAACTGAAAAACCTCTTAGTTATTCTTAAGTTTCGTGAATTAAGTGCGTTATAACTATTTATTTATCTTATTATTTCTACCTAATTATCCTTCCCTTATATTACTATTAATATTATCTTTCACGATAGGACGAAGTATTAAGAGCTAG